GGTAAGAGAGGATATGAGAATTCACCCTTAACCCCCCCCCCCACCATCTACCACCAAGTTTCTAAACGCATTTTAGTATAGTTTTAAAAATATTTATTAATATATAATTTATAATAATAATAATAATTTTGGTTTCAGTGTTCAGTCACTTGCTCCACTCTGACAGCTGCATTCTCTTAGGCGAATTTCTGGCAAATTCAGTTATTATTTCACTTTCATGGAATTGCTCTTTTTTATTTATATTAGCCATAGCTAATCTATTTAGTCTGTTTTCCGACATGGTGCTTCTTAAAAAAATTTTAAGCGATTAAGTGCTGAAAACGTTCTTTCCAGAGTGAAAGAGGTAACTGGTACCATGCCGAATAATTGTAAAAGTATTTTAATGTTAGGTCGAAGATTGGTGTGATGAAAGAGTGAATCAAGAGCAGAATTCGGTTTTGGAATAGTATTTTGACTCCATTGTTGCCTCCATATGAACAGGTCAGACCTGATTGTAGATGAGGTATCATCATGGAGATCTTGGACATATATTTTAGCAGTTTTTATAATATTTTTATCGTCATACATATTTAAATTGGCCGGAATAAGTCCTTCAAGTGGCATAAGTGACATCAATAAGCCTTTGATTAAAACGAGCATTGATTCTATTAAATAGCCAAAATACATTATACGTATAAACACGGCCCATGGGGGACGCTATAGCCCCCTTAGCCCCCCCTTGGCTACACCACTGGTTCTACTGAACTCATATTTTCTATGTTGTGCGTTTATAAGACAGGAACGACACATGTGGGTTCGGCGTTTTATTAATTTAATTTTAATTTGTACATTAGAAGTTATTCTCAAGAAGGAAAAACCCCCGATGATGCTTTATTTAGACATTTGTCAATGAAATATGCTTCAAAAAATCCCAAAATGGCCAATGGATCAGCTTGTCAAGAGGAACATTTTATAAATGGTATTACTAATGGTGCTGAATGGTACGAACTTGAAGGTTTGTATTTTATATAAAAATTATTTTCATATTTTGTATTTATACATTTTTAATGTTTAAATAAGTTGTCTATAGTTAAATATGTTTTCCTGGAAATGACCCAAATTCCAACAAATTCTATTGGTCAACAAATTTAAAGTGCCTTTAAATAGGCTCAACTGTTAATTGTACTTTTTATTATAATTTTTTAATTATTATTTAGGTGGAATGCAGGATTTTAACTATATTTATTCAAACTGTTTTGAAATCACTATTGAACTTACTTGTTGTAAATTTCCACCTTCATCTGTGTTAACAAAAGAATGGGAATATAATCGTGAATCTTTGTTAACTTATATAGAAAGTGTTCATATGGGTATTAAAGGTAAGAATTACATATGATTTATAAGTTTTGTAAAATTTGATTTATAATTTTTACTATTTATTTTATAGGACTAGTTCAAGATGAAAATAACAATCCAATCCCAGGTGCTGTTATACACATTTTAGGCATAAATCACACTGTTAAAACAACAAGTAGAGGAGAATATTGGAGACTTTTACTTCCTGGCACTTACAGCATTTCAGTTAGTGCTCCTGGGTAAGATGAATGATTAAATATTTCAATTTAACATTATGTATTTTAGTTGACATTTTTTTTAAAATCCATCATAATATTATTATTATTTATTTCAATATTTGAACTAACCATATTATACATTTTAGAGTTTTGATTAATTATTTTATTAGAATTTTAATTAAATATATTTCATAAACTTAAGCATAAACATTTTAATTTTAAAGTTAAAAAAAAATGAAACTTTAAATGAAAAATAATACTTTGAGTATAGCATTTAGTTAAAGAAGTTCATTATTAATTGAGATAATTTTTTTATCTATTAGTTATAATACATCAGTGCGTGAAAATGTGATAGTGAAAAACAATACTCTACGTCCTGTAATTGTCAACTTCATACTCAATACATTAAAACCATCGTCAGGTAATATAATGTATAATTTATTTTTTCCTCATTAACAAATTTTAGTATATAATTTAAATTCAGTTTCTCTTTTTTTAATATTATTCAGTATATTTTTATGAATCACATGTGTAAATCATCCATTGCATGAGATTACTAATTGGTGATGGAAGTTTAATAATTTTTAAACAATAATTCAAATAAGCTTATAATTTGTATATTTTTTAGCTCAAAAATACAAAACATCAATGGTCTTCTGCTTGTGGATATTGGTATTGCATGTTTCATTAATAAATTGTGTCTTTTAAATGTTTATATTACTTCTCATCTTACTGTAAAAATGTAATTGATTCCATGATAGCTTAAAAAAAAAAAAAAATACTACATTTTGTGATAATATAGTAAGGTATTTTGAAACTAAGCATTCCAAAAATAATAATGTTTTATTACTTAAATTTTAAAATCTTTTCTTTTATCATGAGATAAAAGTGATATAATATGCCTGTTATAATTTGTTTTATTATACTGTTAGGTAATGGTCAACAGCTAATATTTCATTAACAAATAACATAAATTCTTATTGAGTTTTATATAAAATCTTAACATAATAATTAACCAAGTATTTCATGGGGTCTTACATTTTAAATTATTTTACTAAATTTGTTATTTTAATGTCTAATTTATAAATAATCTACATTTTTAATATTATTTAAATATAATACAATTTATATTTATTTATTTGTATTTAAAAATATATTTGCATAAAAATCATAGTATCACTAATTTTTATTTGACCATATTCTATTTAAAAATTACTTAATAAGATATATACTTGTTCAAACATTTATATTGGACTGAAATAGCTCACAGTGGTAATTATTGAAATTAATAACTACTTTATTACCATTTATTTATTCTAATTTATATTAATTTATTTACTTTTGATTATTTTACCAAAGGTAATTTTTATATATTTTTTTGAAAGATAATTTAAATTGAACATTAATAAAATGACCATTGTAAATAATAAACTTTTTACAAATATGATACTTATAACATACTCTTTAAAACAAACTATATATACCATAACTGCGTTGACTGAAAATATAGGCTTGTAAGATAATAGACAAAAATTAAATATGTATATTAATGTACATTGTATATGTATATTTCTATATAAATACAAATTTGAATTTTGAATTTGTAATTATTTAGTAAATTCATGATAACTTCTATTTTATTAAAATTTGATGCATATTAAATGAAATACATTTCTTGATATTTTTTTATTTTTATACCAATTTATTCAGTATTAGATTTATTGTCCCTAACAATTTCATTAACTTCTTTGGCAAATTGTTTTGTTTTTTATTATAATGAGCAGTTTAGGCTTAATTCCAGACAGTATTCTAAAATGAGCTGAGTTGATTTTGCACAGAAATGTTTTTTAGTTGGAATTAATATTTTTGTATTTTGATCAGGCGTATATCCAGAGGGATATTAGAGGTGTAGTAACACTTCCTTCCTCTTGACCATGTCATACTTAATTCTCATAAAGGTAACAATTTATCATAAATCTTGATGAACACATATTTATCATAATAAAATATATACATATTACGGTAACAATAATGTAAAGCTGGAAGCTGGCTTCTCATCAAACACCATTCTGTCTAAAAGTGTAAAGTCATGGTTTTGTGTCATTTCCATGCATGATTTAAAATATATATATATAAATGAAAGACAAAATTAATATTTTAAATTTTAATAAAGTAATTAAATATTTTCTCATATATACACATATAAAGTTATTATTTTATTGTGTATAATTTTGTCGATTAATTTTTAATAACACCCCTCTTCTGAAATATCTAGCTCTGAGCCCGATTTTTATGTGCTTATTAATATAGTTTATTATATATTGTTATACTTTAATATTGTGAGAAATTAATAAACATTTTACTTTTATTTATGATTCTGAATTTATTTTACACTACATTTTTATATTTATTTATTTTATACAATATCATATTTGGTCATAAAAATAATTACTTATTTTAAAATAAAAAGTGTAAAAAAATAGGTACATTATTTGCTATACTTAGGAGTGCAGATTTTAACTGTTAAGGTTTTAATAAATAATTCAATAGTTCTGTTGATAAAATATAGATTATATTACTTAAAATTAAAAGTAAATTTTTTTAATTTTTAACATTTGAATGTTTTCATTATACATTTATTGATTTATTTAAACAATTACAATCAGTTAAAAAGTATTATTATTTTGAACCCTAAACTGATTATTTAAATTGTAATATTTAATATGATTTCCATCTTTGTATATTTTCTAATATTTAAAGATTTTAGAATTCAACAACAATTTTTTTATAATTATAAAGTCAATTAAGTTTGATATTAATAAATAGACTTTACTGTATAAAAAAAAATTATTTTTGTAATTTTATTTCAATTATGATACTTGACATTTAAAAGTGGATTTTAATAAGAAATTTTTATTAATTATTTACAAAATACTTCTCTAGAATCCATTGATGGCGTGTTATCAAATGTAGTAATTGATTTATCACACTGGAATGTAAATGTTGATTTTGGATTAATTAAAAAAAATGGCGTTGTTGCTGTTATCCATAAAGCAAGTCAGGGAATTAAAATGTTCGATCCTCAATATAGAACCTATCAAAGGTTAGCTGAGAAAGAAGGACTGCTTTGGGGAGCATATCATTTTGGAACTAAAGCAAATGGTGTTATGCAAGCTAAACATTTTTTAAGTAAAGTTGGTAATACATCAAAAACATTGCTTGTACTTGATATTGAGCCTTACAAAAATAAAATAATGACACAAAATCAAGCAGAAGACTTTATAAAAACTGTTCAGAAAATAGCTGGAAGTGTTATCATGATATATGGCAGTTATAATACCTTAAATAATTACTCAACTCCATTTTTAAGAAATATTCCATTATGGATTGCATACTATAATACACAACTTAAAATACCATTTGGGTGGGATAAGTGGGTTCTATGGCAATATACAAATGGTATAAAAGGTCCATGGCCACATGAAGTCATTGGTATTGGCTTATGTGATAGAGATATATTTAACGGTTCAGTTGACAAATTAAAAGCATTTTGGCCTAACGGCAGTTCAAACTTCTAAAAGATGATTCATTTTTGTACGAGACAACTACAATTTAAATTAAATTAGATCTTTTTATTTACTTTTATAAATAAATACAATTATTGTTTATAGTAAGTAGTTCAATTTGAGTCAACAAATAATTTTTTAATAATGTATTACATGTTATTCATTATAATAATTTTTTATATTGGACATTTTTCATGAATAAACTATGACCAGTATCAAGAAAAATTGAATAATTATTTTTAAATAGTTTCTTTTTATGTTTAATGAGCAACTTATAATAATGATATAGTTAATTATATATCATGGTTTGTTTTATTTCCTATTTTATAAGGTTTTGCTACAATCCAAGAATGTAGAAAAATATTATTTATGGGGGGAAGGCTTTGATATATTTAGATAATAACTATTTTTATTATTATTTATTTACTAGCAGGGATTTATTAATGGAGGGTTTGTACTCCATCCCCTTCTTTTTTTACCTTAACAACTGCTACTGTCATAAACCCACAAAGGCTTCGATCAGTATAAGAATAAAGTGAGAATTTAAATAGAAAAAATTTTGAACACTATTAGTTAAAACTATTTTAAACAACACAAATATATATAATTACAGTACGAAAACTAAATCTATACACAAGACAAGTATAATCATGTTTGACTGTCAAGTGCCCCAGCTGGTAAATCTTATTACATTGAGAGGAAACGAGGTGCTTTATATATGATGAGACATACCTTGGACTCATTGGTTCTTTGATTAGAAGTTGTGCGCACTTGTGATATGTTATGTGGCATGATGCTGACTGCTATGATCACTACTTAGTGACCAGTACACACAAGGCAAGTGATTATTTATTGAGTAGGTAGTTAGATAATACGTTCATTACACTATTGATTTTTTTTTTTTTCATGTACGTTTTAATCAGATCTGATAGTATTGTCCCTATTTAATAAAGTTAATAAAGTTAATAAGACCCTAATATAATTTCTATACCAATTAAAATGGACATTATAAAGATTAATCCATTAATAATTATCAATAAACCTAGGTACTTTATTCATTTTAATAATATGTTAACAATTATTCCATTCAATTTAATTTTATTAAAACACCACCAATTAGTTTTTTCTTAACTGATAATTGTTATCTATCCCTATAATACATAAATACAAGTTAACTTTAATTATTGAACTTAAACAAAAGTTCAAAATAAAAATAAAGTTATAAATATTTTACTAAATATAAATTACAAATTTATTTTAAACCATGTTTCATACTTTCACATAATTTCTATACAATGACAAGAACATGACAAAATATGTATTACTAAACATTACCAATACATAAATCACTGTGTTTATGTTGTAAACTGTAAAAATTAAGTTTCTTTTAAGTACCTATATAATTATTTGGTGTATTATTTTTTCATATTTTTAACCATTTCTATTAATAAATTATTTTCAATAGTAATTTTATTGAAATTCCAAAAAATTATAATATTATGTATTAAAGCCTGAAAAAATGGTGGAGGGTGTTAATAATTTTTAAAAACTTATAATTTATGAAATATTTGCATAGTGAATGATATTTTATTAATTATTAACATTTAAAGTTTTGTATTTCTGTTCAATAGAGTATATTATAGATTATTGATTATAATTTTTATCAATATGTAGTAGAAATCGTTTATAATAACATTGAAGTATCAATAAAAATGTATTATTTTATATTTTGTATTAGCTAATACTTTTTACATTTTGTGTGTATTTTTATTGGAATCACAAGTTTTTTTATTATAAACGATTTCTAGTGTAACTAATATTTTTTATTTGTTTTAATAATAAATCTTCAAATAATTTGTAATAATATAGTCATATAATTTTCACATCTATACATGTGGTGTAAGCATTTATTTTTATAATTATTATCACTATTATAAAATTATTATTATTATTATTATATACATTTTATTTAAAACTAAGAATAAAAAAAAAAAATGTTATTTTTATTTGAAGTGTTATGAATGCACCCAACTGTTGTACGATTTATGATAAATAAACGAGTAATTTTTTAGTATAAAATAGTTGTTGTTTTTTCTTTACAATATTTTGGTCATTTCCGGAACTTTAAATTGTTATTAAACTGCTTGTTAATTACTTCAAATAATCGTTTACTGCGATGAGGTTTGTGAACAATTTAGTTGTAATTTTCTAAGGAGAGTCAAACTCTACTAGGGAAAATAAGAGCGACCAAATCTGCATTTCCTTTACTTCACAATCAAATAATTGTTTTCTTCTGTTCTTTTATAGCTGTAAAACGGTTATTTGATTATAAATATTAGTCTTATAACCTAATATGTACCCTAGGTATATTATGGATAAATTTAACATTAAGTTGTGTGTGCATTGGTCCATTCAATTAAATAATAATAATAATAATAATAATAATAATAATAATAATTATAATAATAATGAACGGCACAGGTGGTCGAACATTATATTTTATTCTAATTATACATAAATATCCTTAATTATTCAAAATGCATCAATATCGGATTCTGTGGCTATACCACCACCATGTGTTCGCAAAAACAGATGGAATATAAAAAGATTACTTTTTTTCTTTCAGCTACTGATTTGAGTGCAGTAGAAGTGAAGAACGGATCGAGGGACGATAACGGTTTCCCGATTCCCGTAAAATTTATACATCACAACTATTCTAGTCTCGTGTCTACTCTAAATTTAATCAACGTCAACTATCCAAACATAACCAGACTATACAATGTGGGTAAAAGTGTCCAAGGAAGGGATCTGTATGTGCTCGAAGTGTCCACTAGTCCTGGACAACACGAACCCGGTAAATTTTAAACGGCGGTGATGGATTTAGGGTTTTACATGTTTTTTTCTTTTCATTATCTTTTCATTTTTGAATATTTTCTTCAATATATTATGAATGTGTTTATAAATATATTATACTGACTACCATTGGCGCAACTAGATCTAAAATATTGGGGGGGGGCTGAAGCCCTATAAATAAATATAATCAATGTGAGCTATGAGGGGCTTCGCCCCCCATATCCCCCATTGCCGCAGACACAGAACAATAATTATTAATTGAAATAAAAACAATCATAAAATATTATTACCATACTATATTAATAAAAATCATGTACCTACTTCTATGTAATATGTTTTACATAAAATATGACATAACACCACCGCAATATTCCACCGTCGTCCGTCACATTTATTAAATAACAATATTATTATTATGTAGGATTGTAGGAATTACAAAATAAACTATAATAATAATATTTTATATTTATACAATTTACTTTTGAATAATTCTCTGCGTCATATATTCATATTATTTAGTATGTATCTCACTATCCCATGCTTAAATGATCATTAAATTTTAAATAATCACAAAATTTGAGGGGACTATAATAAATTTTTGGGAGGCTAAGCCCCCTAAGCCCCCCTAGTTGCGCCAATGCTGACTACAGAACGATTATTTTTAACGCAAAACAGACCAAATCTTGAAAAATAAAAGTGATCTAAAGATACATTTAAATTTATTTTATCATTCAATACTCTTTGTTCAGCCTTTATAAGCTCATAGCTTCCATGAAGATTTTTATAGACTTATGACTTATGGATATATATAATTCCTTATCCGAATTTATTCCAAAATAATTAAATCATTTAGTACAAATTAATGTACAACTTTTAGCGTTCTGAGACATTTATTTTGAGATTTGTGTTTTCTTGTATTAATTATATGTATTGTAGGTAAACCGGAGTTCAAGTATGTTGCCAATATGCATGGAAACGAAGTAGTTGGCCGAGAAATGTTGCTATTGCTGGCTCATTATCTGTGCCAGAACTATGGCGCTGACGAACGCGTCACCAAGTTGGTGAACAGTACTCGAATACATATGATGCCGACGATGAATCCAGATGGATATGAAATATCTAATGAAGGTGATCATTAGTGTTTTGTTTTTAATATGAATTAAGTTTCTTAATTTAGTTGTTTGTTATGCAGGAGTTGAAGATGTTAATGATCTGGTCGGTCGAGATAATGCTAACGGAGTAGACTTAAATCGCAATTTTCCAGATAGTCGACATCCATTCCATGTGAGTACTTATCCAATGTTTTTATAGAGTGTCATAGAGTGTTTTTATGTGATATTTATGTTTTTGTCATTTGATCTTAGCCTTATATTTGTATGTCAGTAGAGTTCTGATGTGCTATGGGATTAATTTAGAGTTAGGTTTGACTGAACTAGGGTTGCCATACATTTATAAGGCGAAACCAGGACAAAAACACATTATTGAATAATATACTTTTTATTACTTTAATTATTTTTATACATTTTACATATTTTATATGGTTATTAATATTTCAATTAGTTCTTAAAACAAGATTTCTGACTTTCTGAGAAAAATTCGTAACGTTGTACGCTTATAGTCATAATTAGTTTCATATGCAATAAGCTATTCACGAATATGAACTGTGAACTTGTGAGTCGAGACTTGAAGAATTGATTAGAGCAGTGGTAATCTGATTCAAACAAAGAGTTGAGAGTTGACTCTTTGATTTAACTCATTACACTGAACTGAGTTGAAAGATTCAGTTCAGCAGAATGAGTTGGAATTCCTATTCCTAGAAACTATCATGATTGATCGGCCGTCAAATCAAACAAATATGGTTGGGAATCGTCGGGAATAGAGAATTCGGGAACTTCGTTTCAATTGTAGGCACTAGCATTAACATCAAGATGTTTGTTTTTCTTCTGACTTCGTCCGATATTCGGATATTGGATCTGATCGGGAAAAATACGGATCTAATGTAGGTTCAACCTGTGTGTTTAATCCCATATCGATAATGTAGTCCTACGTCGCTCGTCACAAACTACGTGCGTATCTACACATTTTGTACGCTCGTGTGGCGCTAGCCTATATTAAAATATTTATTAACATGGATTACCGAAGTTATAGAAATTACAATTATAACAATTATTATAAACAGGCAATCGGTAATCATAAAGACATACGGTATTCCAACACTGCCGTATTTCCAGAAATGTGTATAAAAATGAAAAATAAGTATCGATTCAAGTATTAAGCTTATTAAAAGAACTTATTGACCCTCAGTTTAGCAAACGTTTGTTAAAAAATGATATTGTTGAACCTCCACGTATCAAACAAAATATTGAAAAATTCAAAAAATAAAAATTAATAAATTAATTACCAATTTCTACTACACTTAATATTATATTATTATATTATCTATATTTGTAGCGTAAATAGAAAATAAATAAAATTATTTCTAAACTATTTTTCTTCATAAAAAATCAATGATTTTTATTTAATTATATTTGAATAAGTATGAGTTCAATAAATACAAATAAAATTTTGTTATAATGTAGTTTCTACGATCTATATGTTGGTACATAAATTTAGGTAATCAAGGTGACTCAGATTATAATCGGTAAATCAATCATGGGTACCCGCGGACATTTAAAATATTACGACAGCATTTATATGTATGCATTTTATAATGACGCGCAACGGAATTAGACAAACGTTCATAGAATAATACACATGGCTCTCGAATAACCATAATCGTTGGTCGACGCCGACTGCTAGAAGTAGGCGTGTCTTAAATGTAGCATGTTTGCGGATTGTGAAAACACTTAACAGCGCGTTCTCTCGGCCGTTGTATACGTTTCGCTTTGGGTATCACGTCCTCTTAAGTAAGAAATGTTTTTACAATTATAAAATGTTGATAGTACAAACGCATCAGCTAGAAATTGTATAGTATAGTAATTTGTATATTGTATAGAGACTTGCAGTGGTGCAGTGGCGTAGCCAAGGGGGGGGGGCTAAGAGGGCTATAGCCCCCCATGGGCCGTGTTTATATGTATAATGTATCTTGACTATTTAATAGAATCAATGGATGCTCGTTTTAATCAAAGGCTTATTGATGTCACTTATGCCACTTGAAGGACTTATTCCGGCCAATTTAAATATGTATGACGATAAAAATATTATAAAAGCTGCTAAAATATATGTCCAAGATCTCCATGATGATACCTCATCTACAATCAGGTCTGACCTGTTCATATGGAGGCAACAATGGAGTCAAAATACTATTCCAAAACCGAATTCTGCTCTTGATTCACTCTTTCATCACACCAATCTTCGACCTAACATTAAAATACTTTTACAATTATTCGGCACGGTACCAGTTACCTCTTTCACTCTGGAAAGAACGTTTTCAGCACTTAATCGCTTAAAATTTTTTTAAGAAGCACCATGTCGGAAAACAGACTAAATGGATTAGCTATGGCTAATATAAATAAAAAAGAGCAATTACATGAAAGTGAAATAATAACTGAATTTGCCGGAAATTCGCCTAAGAGAATGCAGCTGTCTGAGTGGAGCAAGTGACTGAACACTGAAACCAAAATTATTATTATTATTATTGTAAATTATATATTAATAAATATTTTTAAAACTATACTAAAATGCTTGAATTACGTTTAGAAACTTGGTGGTAGATGGTGAGGGGGGTTTTAAGGCTGAATTCTCATATCCTCTCTTACCTTACTTATCCAAAAAAGTAGTTAGCCCCCCCATTTAAAAATCCTGGCTACGCCACTGCAGTGGTATGTTGGAGGGTATATGGTGGTATACGGCGTATACCCAATACGCTATTTTTATCCATGGCGTATAGCTTATGAGAAATTGATGATACGCGGGTATACGGCCGTGTATAGATGAGCGGATCAAAACCACCCTGATCCATGTACATTATTATCAATTCAATTTCGGTTGATGCTCTTATCATTTTACTATATTATGTATATTATTGTATTATGTACAAAAAAATAATTATTATTGTTGTGTTACCGTTTAGTTCTATTTTATATAATTATTAACTCTATTGTGTAATATGAATAAAAAAACAAAACAAAATAGCGAAAACTGTTGTCATAAATGTAACAAAAATAAATATTAGCTAACTCTTTCATAAAAATAGAATTATATTATTAATTTGATCATTTGATTTATTATTTAATATCAAAATTTGATTTACTTATAAACTCAGTTAAATGCATTAAATATATTTAGAAAAAGTATTATTTATCTAGGCATTTGAATAATTAGTACATATTTTTCAGAACATTGACTTTCAACCCCAAGTAGTAATTGAAATGTGTTTTAAATTGTACACTTTTTTCGTGAACCCCTCATACAAACTAATATTTAGTATAAGATATCAGTATTTTCATGAAGAAATAAACATAAAACGAGTAAATTTCAAAGTACCTATCTAAATCTTGTTATTTTTGTCATTAGAATTAATTAGATACAAAATGTTAGTGTAACTTGTATCTACTTACAACAAATCAAGGAACTGGTTCATCACTAGTGCCATCACAATTGTATAATAATATGTCTATAATATTATTTATTATTCATATAATCTGTGGTTATATCACACAACAATAACAATTATTTTTTGTACATAATAGAAATGTGTCGTTCATGTACGAACTAGTTCAATTGAACTATTCACCCAAGTGACCGGTTTCGTACTAGTTCACTTTTGATGAACGACTCGTTCACCGTTCACCGTTCACTTTGTACGAGCTAGTACCTTAATCGTTCATGAGCGATTCATCGTCACGGAGTAATAATTGTTGAACTAGTTTGTTCATGAACAATTCTTTGATACGGAAAACGTATTCATACGAACGAATCGTCAAATTCTGAACTAGTTCACCTTAATGAACAATAAGTCCCATCTCCAGTACATAATACACATAATACAGATGATATAGTAAGATGATAAGAGCATCAACCGAAAAATATTATATGTTATAGTGATGACGGAGAATTGATAATATTGTGCATGGATCAGGGTGGTTTTGATCCGCTCGTGTATATAGCGTATATCTTGTAATTTGACAAATAACTACTTAATACCTTGACTAACCTAACTTTTGGTTATATTTATGACGTGATTCGGTATCGGATGTATTATTATTATTTTTTTTTTTTAATGAAAAATTGAAATTCGTTATCATTTAATAACATGTTTCTGTTATCAAACATTCATAATTTAAGGTGTGTAGTTTATGAGTATTTTTGGTTCCTACCATATGATAATTACTACATGAAATAAGGCGTATACCCATGGTTTATTTTAGCAATATATCACTGGAGACTTGTGTATTTACTGGAATGACTTGAATTTTGGCATACATCAATTACATCAGAGAAGAGATTTATGCACATTTAAGACTTATGAACCTTTAAGGGGCGATTTTTTTTGTTGAGGAAGGGGTTGATTTTGGGTAATTTTAAGTTTTTTTTGAATAGAATAATTGAAGAGTATAATAAGCATTGTACGGTCGACCGTTATTCCATTGCCATCGCGACGCGTTCTTTCTTTTTTTTAAGCTTGGCTTGCAGGTCGACTGACCTGCTTGATTTTACTTTGTATACAATATTGAATTATATTCAACAGTTTACAGAGTATTTTTAAGGTCATTATCTTTATTTTTAGGCTATTTTAAAGTGTAAGATTACGTGATTTTTATACAAATATAACAAACTATAAATGAGGCAACTCCTATAACCTATAAGATATACTACCATAGTACTGTATAAGTTATAATACCAATGACGTACCGATATGGTAGCATGACGGGTAATGAGCCATGATCCCATGACTCTAAAAGGTTCATCAAGGAATGTTGAGAATCAAAAAAACAGTTCTTCATTATTACGAAATTTAAAAATACCGAAATAATATACTGTATATATAAATAATGTATAAAATTACTTTAAGTAATATTTAAGAATCTTTAGAAAAAACTATTTTCTGGTAAAACCATACCTGTACGAAAATTCTATAGAAAAGGCATAAAATGGAGAAAATTGTCACTGTTAAAAAACAATAATAGACATCTATGTATGGATTTGCAACTCTATTTAACTTATATAGAATGAAGAATAGGTATGTTCTTAATAAAAATGTAATTAAAAAGATCTTCAATGGGGTTATATGATTCTGACCCCCCTCCCCACGGTTTTGAACATTGTAGTATTATAAATAATCATGGTAACTATGTAGTTTAAATATTTGAAATAAATTACCATTAAAAATTAAAATATTTTGTACTATTTATTAGCATATTTTTATTGTTTTATGAGATGACATTTCTTCTCTAGAAATATATTTGAGGCCCTAAAGTACCAGGCAGACACTACAAACAATGTTTATATTATAGTTAAGTCAAAACTTAATCAATTATTATTATTATTTTTTTTTTTTATCAATTTCATAAATTATAGTTTATAATAAAATTATTAAAAAAAAAAAAGTTGAGTTTATGATTTCGAATTTTTTTTTAGAATAAATGAATTTTTCTAAAAGTATTTATTAGGGGTTATAGGGCATTATATGTCCAGATTTTGTTAGAAAATATAATAATTTAATACTTAGAAATCAAGAATAAACATTTTTATCTATTTTTTTTTGGTTACTCATATTTTCCTAGGTAATTTTAGTTTGTTAGTCTGTTAAACATTAAAATTAATTTTTTTCATACTTTTTATTCCATCAATTTAATAATTAAAAATTATTGGTTATTTTTTATATAGATACAGAAACAAGAACCAGAAACACAAGCAGTCATTAATTGGATTACTAGCATTCCGTTTGTTTTAAGTGCTAATCTTCATGGTGGAGCTCTTGTGGCCAATTACCCATTTGACAGTAGCATGGTTAGCAGTTACTCCAGTCCACAAGCATCATATACTCCTGACAATGATGTCTTTGTATTGCTGGCTAAAACTTATTCTATGGTTTGTAACTTAAAATTATAAATAGAAAAATTGGTACTGTTATATGGAGATGACAAAAAGCTACCTAAAATAAATTTGTTATTATTCACAGAAACATCCAAAAATGCATTTGAATAATAAGTGTGCAAATGATACAGTTTCATTCAGTGATGGAATTGTTAATGGTGCTTCATGGTATAGTGTTGTTGGTGGCATGCAAGACTTCAATTACTTAAACACAAATTGCTTTGAACTTACATTTGAATTGGGTTGTACTAAATTCCCATTTGAAAAAGACTTGAGAAGTTATTGGTTAGACAATCGCGAGTCTTTACTTTCATTTATGGAACAGGTGAACAGGGGAGTAAAAGGATTTGTCTTAGATATTAACGGAGATGGTGTGCAAAACGCAGAAATTACAGTAATGGGAATTGAACATTGTGTTAAAACTGCAGTAGATGGTGATTATTGGAGAATATTAGTACCAGGCACTTACAAAATTACAGTGACAGCTTATGGGTAGGATAAAATTAATCATCTTATTATTTAAAATTAATTTTTGTTGAAAATTCACAACATATTTATATATATATTTTTTTTTGATAGGTACAAAAGACAAACTCATTCTGTTGAAGTATATGATTCCACTACGCCTACTTGGTTAAATATTACATTGATTAAAGAAGATCTTAATGAATGGTCTCAAATCAATGATTTTAATTTAAAAGATAATATAGTAAAAATGGAGAATTACAAAAGTAAAGAATTATTTTTAAGTAATCTTGAAGATTTAGAAAAAAGTTTGTCAAGCGTTGCTGAATTAGTAATAAACTCTCATAACCCAGATACTTCAATTATTCAACTTAAAGTTACTGAAAATGTGAGGAAAGTTAGTCACTGTGCCTAAAAATAATTAATTATAATACATTTTTTTGATCTTTAGGTTGGATCACCTGATGAATACAAATTCAAAATAGCTATATTGGGTGGATTATATATTAATGAACCAGCCACTCGAGAAATATTGTTATTTTTGGCCAGACATTATGTAGAAGGTTACAGAAAGAAGAATCCTAATATAATGTTGTTCTTATCAAATGTTGTATTATATTTTATACCATACTTTGAACAAAAAAATAGCTATGAAAAGCAATGCATGACTGATGATTCAGCAGAAATGACTGGACCATTGTTGTTAGCTAATCATCAACAAAATGAGCAAAAAACTATTAATAACTTGTGGAAAATGTTACAACAAGAACAGTTTGATATGATGTTCAGTTTGGAAAGTGGATATATGTCAATAAAGTTTGTATAATTTGTAAAAGTAGACAATTTTAATTTATTAAATTATATATATTACATATATGAATGGAGATTAGCTCTTGTAGAAAAGGAATGAAGAATTAGTAGAAATAAAATAGAGTATTTAGAGTATGATTTTGAAGGAAAATATCGAGAAGTTGGGAGGATGAGGAGACCAATGACATTAAGCGGTGATGTGATAAGTGATTTTGAGAATTTTAAATGTTTAGGATCATTTGTATAATAGGATGGGGACTTTAACTTGGACGTAAAACAGAATTAAGTGCAGTTGGATGAAATAATGAGAATTGTAGACTGTTTTATGTGATAAGAGAAATCCAATGAGGCTGAAAAGTAAATTTTACAGAAGTGTAGTGAGACTAACTATGCTTTATGGTTCCGAATGTTGGGTGGTTGACAGGAGAATAGAAAAAAGTATGAGTGTTACCGAAATGAGCATGCTTAGATGGATGAGTGGAGTGACAAGAGAAGATAGAAAAAAGAACAAATATGTTGTGAGAGGAGGTAGTATTGGTGTAGCATTGATAGTAGACAAGATGAGAAAAAATAGACTAAGATGATTTGGGCATGTGATGAGGTGAGAGGAACAAAAGCAATAAGAGTGGTTATGAAAATGAAAATTGAAGGGAAGAGAGGGAGAGGAAGAGAAAAACCAAAAAAGAGAAGGTTAAATACAATTGAATGATATGAGGGCTGTGGTGTGTGCATAAGGGATGTAGAATATCAAGATGAGTGAAGGTTTAAAACAAAGGTGGCTGACCTTTAATAGTTAGGAAAAAGAAGATTGAACCACAAAAAATACCTTTAGTACTAATATTACCAAATTATCAATTTATTATAGGATGTATAAATAAATGAACCATTACTGTAATTAACTATATATTAAAAAGGCTATAGCCCATATGCGCAAAATATGATCCAAACGCAACCCAAAAGCGCAAAAATAAATAACATATAAGCGCAAAAAAAATTACCTTTTTAACAACCCGTAAGCTCAAATCAATTTTACAAAAAGGAAGTGTATTTTATTAAAATCACATAATTATTAAACTTTTAGTGATTATAAAATTAATTTAAAAATTTGAAATTTAAATTTAAATTATATATCAGTAGTAGGTATAATATTATAATGAGTACCTTAAATAAATATTAATATTAAATTTGAAGTTAACAGTTTTTAATTAGTCTATCTGTAAATTTTTTTTTTTTAGTATATATGTTCAATGCATATATATTGGAGTATACTTTAGAGCTGCTATGGGTTTTCGTCCATTTAATTTAATTTTTAAATAAACTTCGGCCTGGTGTTGTTTAAGCACTTCGATAAAATTATAAATAGGTAGATGTGGGTTATAATATTGATCTTTCAAATGACTGGACCATTAGTAGTCGTTGGCTCGTTTGAGGGGTGGATCAGCCTACAGGTGCGGTGGATGTCTACTGTCATTTTCAATAAAATTTGCTATAATATAATCAGAAAATGCTGATACCTTATCATTGTTAGGAGCTATAGAAAATAGTTCATTATACGCATCAGATATTTTATTTCAGTGGAAGGTAAAAAAGCTAATCCAAAAAATGACTAACCAATTTGAAATTTCTGATTCATTTTTGTCATATTTAATTTTGTCTCAATTTTCCCTTTATATTTTATTAAAAATAATAATTTAATTTAATTATTAATAATCTTAAAATGAAACTTATAGTGTAACGAGTGCAATATTTCTTTTTGCGCTTTTATCCCACTACTAAGGTACAAAAGCGCAAAATGAATTTGCGCTTTTGGTCTATCGATAAAAATAGACGATTGCGCTTTTGGGTTTCACCGATTAAAAATAATTGTTTATCAATTAAAAAAATCGGGTATTTGTGCGTTATCGAACCTACCGCCGACTCGTCGTGACTACCTTGATTTCACTTGTGCGTTATCGCGACTATCTTGATTTCGAACGCATTATTGTACGCAACATACGTTTATAATAATACGAAACTACCCAATTCTAAAAGTCATCGTAGGTGGTAAGTTCCACAGATCTATTGCCAAATAATCGTAACCGTACAACAAGTTATCACTACTACAGCTTGGTTGTGACTAAATGTCTACAAAAGTCCTATAAGTTACTCAGCCAGTAATGGCGTAAACTGGTTGGTGCAAAGATATGTTTTAGCACCACCAGAAAATCATTGAAATTTGTATACTTGTAATATTATTTTCAAGAGCCAAGGAAATCAGCATACTAAAAGCAAAATTTGTTTTTTTTTTATTAATATTATAATAATAAAGGTTTTAATGTTAAAATAATTCAAAATTTATTTGTTATCTAAAGAAATATATGGGAAAATATATAATTTATCAGGAAGAACTTAGGAAATTGGAAAATTGGTGTGTTAGAAATTATAATTTGAGAATATGCCCCTGCACCACCAGAAATTGGATCCAATTTACGCCACTGCCAGTCAGTCTATAAAAATTGCGATAAGTGCGATTATAATGGCACTGGAAAAAATGGAATTCGAAATGGAATCGCGTATAAAACGGCGCGCTATAACCCATAATATGAGGTAATTGCGATAATGCATATGTATCGCGCGGTAGGCGCGATAACGCACAAGTACCAAAAATTGTATTGAATCATATAACTTCATATTTAAAATATATTTTTAATAATTTATATTTGATTCACAAAATTATAAATTTAATCAATGATAATCAATCATTAAATAATAAATATAAAATTGGTCATTTTAGGCAATAATTGACTAATTACACTTATTTAATCTTTATAAATATAAATACTCTAAAAATTGGTTTAGTGGTCCAACAACCCAACCAAGAAACACAATATCCAGGCTTTTTATGGATTTTCAAAGAGTATATGATAATAGTAACATAAAAAATGTGAGTAGAATTTATAAGATTTTAATTTTAATTCAACTTTTATTAGAAATATCTATTATAATTTTACTTTTAGACTTGTGGTGAACCATTAGATAGTAAAATCAACGACATCAAACAAAAGGTTTTAGATACATTTAACAATGTGTTAAAAATTAAAACTGTATGTATACAATTAAATTTTATTAATCCTTAAAAAAAAAAAATTAATAATTGCAATAATTATCTTTAGATTGCAGTACGTTTAACTTGCTGTAACTATGTTGATCCATCGGAAGCAGCATTTGTTTGGATGGAAAATTACCGTATGTTAAAAGGTGTCATAGAAAATATTCAAGGAGTTCGAGGATCAGTTACTGACAGAATAGGCAACCCTATTAGAAATGCTATTGTAACATTAAACATGTTTGCAGATATTTATAAAGTCACTTCTAATTCTGCAGTTTTTAAAGCTTACTTACCTGCAGGGATATATACAATAAATGTAAGTGTAGATAATTCTTAAATCAATTTTTAAAAGAATTGTTATGTAATTTATATTTATTCAGGTTAAAGCAACTGGATATTTGACAAGAAAATTTTCAGTCCATGTGACTAGTGGAAATATTACTATAATCAAAGTTGTTATGTTACCTGTTGGGCAAGGTTCTGCAACTCAAGAATTTAATACATTAATTAAAGGTAATTACTATCATTATTTGTGTAGTTTATACTGTTTTTAAAAGAGTATACTTAATGAATTACACTACTTAGGATATGTATTTGAGAATGAAAATAAACCAATTAAAGGAGCAGTCATAACTGATGAGTCATCTTCTTCATTTTCTACTAGCGATAATAGTGGATTTTATAAATTACTAACTCAAAACGGTAAATTCTTATTGTTAATATTTTATTTATATTTAACACTAAAATCAATAAAAAAGTAGTTTTTAACTTTCCTTAAATGTCTTATTATATAATATTATTAATCATTTAAAGCATTGGAAAAATATATATAAATATTTATAAATTGTTAAAAATTAGTACATAAATAATCGAGATGAGTGGAGGTTTAGAACAAGGGTGGCCGACCCCAAATAGTTGAGAAGAAGAAGTAAACAATTTTTTATTTACTTTTGCTATTCTTCTAGGTTATTTAGGCCCATTTCCGCTTCCGGAATCCTCCTCCATGCATCTCTTCTTCATTCAGTACTCCCAGACCTCTAAGATCTTCTTTAATTCGGTCTTCCTAATGTTGTCTTGGCCTTCCTCTCGATCAACTTTAATTAGGTTTTCACTTCATCACGTTCTGTATAAATCGGCCCTCGACATACATATCTGGCCCCTTTCAATCTAGCTTTTGATTGTGCTCCTATATTGATCTCGCCAAGAAAAGCCATTAGTTCATTATTTGCATTTATATTATCAGTATCTGCCTTCTCATTTCTTTTTGGTCCAAATATTCTTTGCAAGATTTTTCTTACAAATATTAATAACTTTTTATTATTTGTCTTGTTAGATGCCAGTGGTGGATCCATGGGGGAACGGGACCCCAAATCAGAAAAAATATTTATTAAAAATCTATAATTTTATGAATTAAGAAAAAGATTTTTTTTTTAAAGTAGGAGAGAAAGTGTATAATTTGTATTTTATTCATATAAGAAATTAGTAGTCTTAGATTTAAATCAATGTATTATAATACTTATATTTTTAATTCATTATCAATCATTGACCAAATCTTGGATATTGGATATTGGTAGACGCCCATGCTTCACAGGCATAGAGTACAACCGGTCTACCCAGGTTTTTATATAGTCTGATTTTTGTTCTAATCATTAACTGTTTTTGTTTTGACTTGAATATAAGACTAATGCAGTAGATTTGAATAGTGTCAATGAATATGAATATAAGTTCAAAAATAGACTACGCTTTAAATGATTTATTTATTTTTAGTTTTGAAAATAAAATTGTAATTATGAATTTGAATTTAATTATTTCTGTTTAATTAGTCATAAAAGTATTGCAAGAACAATTTTATTGAGGATTGAGTTTAAAATATAAATTTATAATAACAGTTAACTCTTAATTATTTTCAATCATTATATAAAAATAATTTCCTTTTTAATATTGAAATATGTATAATAATAACAGTTGACAGTTATTCAATGATGTGATTTTTCCATTTTATTTATTATTCATAGGTGTTAAAACTATACGAGTAGAAGCTAATGGATATGAAACTTCAGTAAAATCTATTAATATTAAAGGTGACAATCCCCCATCTGTAATTTTTACATTGCAGAAAGACGAGAGAATTTTTAATATGCCTAGGATGTTATTTATTGTTCTTGTTGGTAATTATAGAAACATATTTAATATGTTATATTTGCTGATAAGTTTATGATTTTATTATTAATACTTTATATTTGTATTCTATGTTAATAGTTTTTGTGATTTCTGTTTCTGGCGTGGGTTGGTATCATTGTTACCTTCGATGGAAATCTGAAAGACCTTCATCTTTTGCCTACAGGAATGGTTTCGCTTTGCTTCCTCAAAAGCCTTATCTTTTTGATGATGATGACGAAGTGGAACTTTTTCGTAATCCAGGTATTAAAGGTAAGTTTATTTCAGTATTCATTGTATTTTTAATCATATTCATTTTTAAATGAAGTATGCTTTTTTTGTTTTCTTAATTAAGTGAATATAATATTTATTATGCATTAAATTAGTCTACTAGTCACTATTTAATGGTGATTAGTTTCAGACTAAATCACACAATTGAGTAGGTCATTTACTCTTAAATCTAAACTGTCAAAATACATGATTGTTTCTAGACTTTTCTAGTAATGATCTATAACACCTGGTTACATGGTTATCCAAATATTTTAAATTTTACTCTACAACTAAAAACTTGCATCAAAACCATAAGATAATTTATGAATATTTTGATATTTAAGAAAACAAACATTTTACTAATTCAGATATTTTCCTGGATAAGAAAAATGTATGTTTAGAAACATCACTAATTTATATTTATTACAAATTCAAATCTTAATGCTAAGATTACGATTAGTGTATTTTATATCCGTGTATTATATGGTATAAAAAATAAACAAATGTATTTATAATTTTAAAACTACAAAAGTTATCTAAAAAAATGCAAAAAAAATAATTTATTTATTAGTTATGAAAATATATGGTTGATCAAATCAAATTAATGTTCTTCCATATTTAATCATAAATATCATCAAACCTTGATAAATTAAAATATCATGAAAATGTATGAGTTTCAGTTGGTTAATAAAAAGTTTGTATTAAATGAAATTTTTTGTTAGGTAAATTATGTGAATTATTAAAAAAAATCTAGTTATGCTTTGAATCATATTAATTATATTATTATTTACAGATTCTATTAATAGACCATACCACGATAATTCAGATGTGAGTTACACTGATAGTTCAGATGAGTCAGTGTCAAATTTTGTTCGGTAATAATTATTATAAATATGAATTTAAGATCATGCCTAGTACATACTATACTTAAATGAGAGCCAATTAAAATTGAAAAAAATACAAATTTCCATTATATACTAGTCAATTTAATGGACAATTCACTTGATAAATATCGTGGTTAAGTTTTCATGTTCGTCGTTAGTATGGTATCAGAAATCTTGATTTTTTTTGTTAACGTTGAGTGCTATCTTGAATTGTGAGGTATTTAAGATGATTATACTGACCAATTAATTACTATTTTTTTAATTTAACATTTTATTATAATGAATATGTTAAGCATTTAAATTGTATAAAAAAAATTATATTTTTTAATTCTTTGCTAATATTAAAATGTATTGTCCCTACTTAAGAGAATTGGAAGTATTATTTCTTGTAAATGGGTAATTTCTTTTGCTACGTAAAAAATTGTTTTTTATCGATATAATAATTTTAAAAATATATTCACATTTTTCACAAAGTTTAACAGTGATTGAATTTCGTCTATTTTTAAATTTGTTTTTCTTATAAATATTTTGAAATTGATTATTGTAATGTTAATAAAAATGTGAAAATTAAATTTCTAGTAATTTATATGATTTGAATTTATTTTTAGAATTCTTATTATACCAGACAAATAGGTCTGATATCTATTACGAAAAAAATTTTTTTTTTAATGTTTACTTGCTAAACGGTGATAACTATTGTCTGATGCGACAGATATATGTTTACATATTTACTCATTTACTTGTAAATGACATAAGCTCATAATAGAAACACAACACAATATTGCATTTACTTAAAATTTTAATATGTAATCACTTCCAATCCACTTTAGGAAATCAACTATAACTCTTATTATATAGTTAGTAACTAGTTTAGGTTTAAGAATTTTAAAATTGTACAAAGTACTTCCATTTAATTATTTAATTTATTGTTTATATTTTTATATGTGCAAACAATCTTGTTAAATAAATTATAATTGAATTTAACAAATAATTAAAATACATTAATTTAATTTCAGCTATTCACAGTATTTTTGGTATAAAATCATTAAAACTATAAATAAAACTTTATGTTGTTATGTGTCCTTTATGGGCTTTCATTTGGTGTTCACTAGTCAAATGATTATCTAAAAATAATTGTCTTCCAAATGCTTGACGGCAAATCATACATTTGAATTTAAGTCGTCCTTCTGCATGCATTTTCAAATGTTTTTTATAATTACAAAATGATACAAATGAACGATCACAGATTTCACATTTATGTTGAACCATGTGTTCTTGAACATGATTACTCCTCGACACCTTGATTAAAAATACAAAACAACAAATAAACATATTTGATTTGAATAGAAATTATAAACTCACTTACCCAATTCTTAAAATATCTAGGACAATAAAAACATTTGAATTGCTTGATGCCAGAATGACCTTGTTCGTGGTTAACTCTACTACTTGAAGCACTAAATGTTTTTTCACAACCTTCATGACGACATTTATAAGGTCTTTCTTTGGTGTGTACTCGCATGTGTTTCTGTACAAGATCCTTTAGTCTGAAACAACGCCCACAGACTGGGCAGGCAAAAGGTTTCTCACCAGTATGAACTCTTTCATGATTTACCTAAAATATGAGAAGAAAATTAATATAATTATTTGTTAAATGAATAATTTCAATTGTGTAATTACTTTTTCAATAGGTTTAACAAAAGTTTTTCCACAAAAACGACATTCATGTAATCGACGTAAACGTTCAGGTGGTTCAATATGTGTAATAGCGTGATGTTTTAAAGAATTTTTGTCATTAAACTGAGCATTACAAACATCACAGATCAATACTTCACGTGGTTTACGTCGCATTTCATGTGCTCTTTGATGACATCGGAGACGAAATTCAGAATCATAACATTTATTACATACACTAAAATAGTTAAATGTTAATTTAACAAAATAATAAGATATAATTAATATAAGCCATACTTGCATAAAAATTTTAAGTTAGAAAACTTAGGATTTTGATGGGCTATTAAATGAGTCTCCATCATTTCTGGTGCTACCGGTTGATCACAGAATGGACATTTATTTGAATCATTTATGTGTACCATAAGATGTGTTCTTAAATAACCTTCTGAATCAAACTCTCCATTACAATGTGGACAAATATGCTGAGTACGAACAGTAGTAACAGACCGATTGTTATTTCTTAAAGCTGGATTTTTGCTTTCCACATTTTTTTTTGATTTAGATACCACTGATTCACCTTCTTTGCAGTTATGTTTATTTAATTTAGTCCAATGATCAGATCTTACATTACATTCTTTACACTTCCAAGTAAGCAGAAGACAATTATTCATATTTTCTAATTGAGCGTATTCACTACAATCTGTTACTTTTTCTAGTGATGGAATAATATTGCTATCATATGGTTTATTTTGAAATAATATTTGTTCAAAACTAAAACGATCATTGTTAGATTTAAGTCTTATGACACGAATTCGTTTATTAAAACTCAACTTACGGGCTTCGACTTGAAAATAATCATTAACATTTTCAGCCACTCGATGGAGTAAATAAATAGGTGTATCAAAGAATCGATCACCATATGCATCAGTAATACAATGATTGGTGTACATGTTTGCATACAATATTTTGTTATCAGTTTGTTCTGGATTATTCTGTTCTTTGTCTTCAATTTCAATTTTAATTTTTTGTAAGTCATCTTTTCCAGTAGAGCTTAAAATTTCATTTTTTTCTAATTTAGTAACATTCACAAAATGTTTTTCATTTAAATGCTCTTGTACCAAATCATAATGATTTGTATAAAAGTAGCCATTTCCCCATTTTATCCAGGTTCCTGATTGTGAAGTTTGTTTATCAATCATTTCAGCCATATTTTTTACAGTATTATTAATGTCTGTATTTTCAGTAACCTGCACATAGTAACTTGATAAAATATATGAAAAATGTAAAAAAAAAAATGATTATACATACTTGAAATACAACTTCTTGTCCTTTATGGCAGCTGTCAATATGATCCTGAATCGATGGGAAATTTATATTACAATATGAACAATGATAAACATTTTGTTCTACTTGAGATTCAATATCTGATGACCGTGCCATTGTTTTAGATTGATCATCATCAGTAAATTCTTCAATAAATTTTTTAACGCCAGTCTCTAAATCAGTATCTGTTTGTCGGTCATCGTTTTGATAATCTTCTTCTTTTACTAGATTATCATATACATCTATTTCGTTTTCGAGGTCAGGTTCATCGTCTAAGCAATTTTTATCACATAAATATAAAAATATGCTAATTAAATATAACACTGCTTACAACTTACCATCAGGATAAACAACAATCATTTCATTGTCAAGCACGGTCTTCTCCAACTCGTTATTTTTGTCCGTGCACATCTTGTCCAAATGATCAACCAACGAGTTGATGTCATCACACTGTTTCCCGCAGAAAGGACATTGGATATTTGTGGTCAAGCTTAGTAAATGATATTTCAACAAATCTTGATTGGAAAAACTGTCTTCACAGCAAAGTGGGCACGCGACGCTCTCCATTTAACTTGGAACGTTAATATCGGTTAGTAGAAACGATTGTTGCAGTCACGTTTCGATGGTTCAACACAAATACGAAATATTAAGTCAGCGCATTTGTACGATGAGCGAAAGACGGCTGAAAAATCGTACACAGGAACCTTTTACTTACGTTTTGATAAAGACAGAGTTTTCTTATTCTTGCAAATGACTTGAAAAATTATCACGGGGCCGACGAAATTATTATTTGTCCATAATAAAACTGTTGGCACAAGCAGAATGGTGAAAATAATACAAGAATTTGTTTTTCAAAATGAACCGCCTAAACGCGTTAGTAACTTCAGAGATGTGGCTGTATCGCGTAGACAGCTATAACAGCGGAACACCAATCGTTACGTTAACGACGTCAGAGTGACCGCGAACCGCCATTGTCTTGACGATTAAAATTGCTGTACAATCACAGTGTATGCGATGTTATAATCGGTGTGTGCAATGTAACCAACCGTAGGCACACGGTTATGCCCATCGGCCAACAGATGATTGAACTCATTGATAAGAAAGGCAATAGCAGAAACCACAGACTTCTATACTATTAGTAGTGTAATATAATAGTAGTAATAATAATAATATAATAGCAGTGTAATATAGAAGTCCGTGGTAGAGACCAGTAAAGTTGTAATCAAAACAGCTTTAAGCCCTTCGAATCACGAATATAGATATTAATAAATATATTTGTACCTATACTTCAAATCCCTTTAAGGCTTCGAGCCCATGTCTTAGACGGTCACTGATTGAAACATTTTCCGTAGCCCGATAAGTTACTGCTTTTTATTAGTGATGTCAAGTCTCGTTCTTTTCTATGATCTAGTTCATTCGTTCATCTTTCTCAGTAATGAGCTCAGTCAGTGAACTAGTTTACTGAACTAGTAGTTCACTGAACGATACATGGTTTCGTTCATAATTTAATGTTAGTCCACACGAATTCAGATATCATTTATCGTATACATATTCATTTATATATCATAAATGCTACACCGCGGAACGGCGGAACATTGCATATGCCGTTATGGCGTTAGTGTTGTAAATAATCTAATCCCTACCCCCTTTAGCTGCCCACTATATATATATATATATATTAGGGTGGTCCTTAACTATAGAGGTCAATTTTTTTTTTTTTGAAAATTGATGACGAGTACCCCAAA